GTTTATATAAGAATATAATTATTTTATAAAGTAAATAAAAAGGTGATTTTATTAAGAAACCTACGGTAGATAAATATAAGTAAAAATAAAATAAAAATAAAGTTGTTTAATAATTCTTGCGATTTCGTAATAACAAAAAATGTTCACTAAGTACACAATTTCGTACTTTCCACCAATTTAAAATTAATTTCAGGCGTTACTACACTCAATTAATTTTAAGGAGCAACTACGTTAACAAGAGGAACCAACAGGAAATTGTCGTAGGGAAAATTTCATCATAATTTAACATCGCCGCTACATCACCTTGAAAGTCGAAATATGTTGAAAGCTATGCAAACAACCAGGACCGGAAGCTTGTTTATCGAGCATTCGGTTTTTCCAGCAGAAAGCCACGCGTGTTCAGCTTTCCATCGTTCGTTCAAATACACGATTGTACTTGCAATCTCGAGGTAATCCGTGCTCCTTTCCCGACGTCGGCGTTTATCCTTTAATTCCTCGTGTCAACATCAAGCCCAAGCCCCGAGCACTTTCACATTCGAGGTAATTTTCATGCTTCAACCTGTCCGACCACAACCACCTCTATGTTCGTTTTACATGGCTTGGACCAGTGTTCTCGTTCATCCCTTTTCTCTCTGGCTTTGATAAACTAGCTGCACAGACTCCAGCGGCTTATCTCTTTCTCGACTACGAAATATCGATGACATGAATTTTGTCGGATATCGTGGCTTTTACGTTATGAGAGGATTCATGGTAATTTTATAGGAATATTAGCACTTTAGAAACATCGAATGCATATTATAGTCGTTATTGTTATTTAGTCAAATTTATGAATGTTCTTCAGTTGAGATAAGGAAGAATGCCAGCTTAGTATTTCGTTTTATTTTCAAGTCGAAAGTACGGGGTTAATTGCAGTAGTGTATGCAACGTTTATTATATTGCCAACAACCGGGAGGTAGGAGAGGAAAATTAATGGAACGAGCGACACATTGGTTAAGGGGGTTCATCATTTGATGAAATAATTCATAGCTACGTTACGATTCGCGGTATAACACGTGCCAATACAATGTCTTGCTAATATGTAATAAGACGTAACTGGTATCACCTTTACCTTGTACAACGCATACTAATTACAATGCAATGCGACACACAGTAATATATGTACTGCGTAGTGATATATACCGTGGTAATATAATGTGTAGTGCATAGTTCATTGCAACACTTACAAATCGTGATCTAATGTAATATAACGTTTGGTGGTATAATATGTGATGATACAACGCGTGGTAATATAATGTATAGTGAACGACGTGCAACGATACAATGCGTGACGGTACAACGCGTGGTTATATAACGCGGGACGATAAAATTCGTGGTTGTATAACGCGCAGCGATATAATGCTTGGCTATATAACGCTCGCTGATATAACATATGACGATGCAACGTGTGATGCTACAATGTTCGGCGATATAACACGAGATATAACGTATGGTAACACAACATGTGACGATATAACGCGTGGCAATATAACGTATAACAATATAACGTGTGACAATATAACGCGTGACAATATATCGTGTAGTAAATTAATACATGGCAATATAACACGTGGTTATATACCGTGTAATAAAGTAATCCATAGCAATATGACGTGTAGTAAAGTAGTGCGTGGCAATATAACGTGTAGTAAAGTAATACGTTGCAATACAACGTGTAGCGACACGTTGAGAAAGTAGAGCGTGTTGCAAATACAACCCGTCGGAGTCTAATGTGTAATAACACATTTGGAATTACTACGCGTGGTGATATAATGGGTGGAAATTGTATAACGCGTAGTTACTGTAACACGTATCGAATGAAACGCGTTGTAAATACAACGCACCGTGATTAAAGTGTAGAAATACAACGCGTAGAAAAATAACGCATATCAAGTCAGTACATAACAATACAGCTAGTAGCAATAAACGCGTGGAAATACAAGCCATAAATGGAAATATAATGATCGTCTATAACGTTAATAAAGGTTGAAACGTCGGTAGCGAACTGGATGTATCAATTACTGTTGAATCGTTATAGCTGTAGTCTGACATTTCAATTAATCACAAAAATTTCCCGACTGTAGTCCAATGTAATTAATTGTTTGATTATTTCGTGCCCCCGCACTCGACCAATTTAATTTGTTCAGATTTCATCGAAAATAATTGCAAAAATTACGCCGAGAATTTGAAATATGATATTGCAGGATCAACCCTTTGAGAGAATCATACTCGAGAGCTTTCATAATTTTCGCTCTCATAATTTACAAAATTATCAATCGACAAACTGTAATTAACGAGTGATTCTATAGATAAGTATAAGCTCGGATAATGGTATTAAAATAAATTACCGAAACGCTGTAAACACGAACAGTTAAATTTTCGAATAATCGTAGTAATTACATTTCTAAAATTGCAAAGCTTGTTAACATTAAAGTTGAAGTTAATTACTCGTAATAAAGTAGTGATTGATAATTAAAAACAAGCTTTGTTATAATCAGTAAACAACTTCGTTTTATAAAACTGAAATTATAATTTTTGTCCAATACAAATACACATACAATCTACATGCAGTTTTCATTTAAAGAGTAATAATTCATTGAGTATAAAAATTGCGAGTTCCGTCTTTGTAGCAGTGTTTCTCTTATTTTGCGTGCAAACGGAAATAACAATAATATCATCCATAATAGCGAGTCAGCTAAAAATGAAATGTTATGGTTTTGATAGACAGTGCATTAACAAAAATCACTACGTAATTGTATTAATAAAAATCGGATTTGTTCGGGGGCAGCAGCCTTATTTACCGACATGATAGAACGTCCGGATAAAAATAGAGGACAGCCAGCCAGCTGCCTTAAAAATAGGTCGACCGTGTTGGAAATTTTCTCGTTTCAGGACGCTCCTTCGGGCATTAAACTTCTCTTTTAATAACGTGTTACCTGACCAAGCAACGTCGATGAAAAGCTACACGTGTAGCTCGCCTTTTTGGACGATAAAATCCTCTCGAGCCTTGTATCGTGACCATTTAAGTGTCCTTCAGCCCGATTTTCACGCCGAGCTTTGTCGAAAGTGGCCAATCGATTCGTGCGATTGCGATTCGATCTTCTTCGTTGTTTTAGCGGGTTGGTAAAAAAGATTTTTAAGGTGGTTGCATTCCCAACTGTTTAAGTATACAAAAATTGGACAAATTTTCTATTCATCTTACAAAAATTTAGCATGGCTATATTATACCGAACTTTGTAAACAAGATTTTAATGTGAATGTTTCGTTTTTATAAAAAAACAGAAGCCATCTTATTTATGATGGAGTGCAAAAGTTTTCGAAACATTTTCTTACAAAAAGATTCACATTTATTTTGCAATAAATAAAGGAAGAAACGATAGTTTGGTTTGCAATGAATTTATTTGTAAATAATTGTGATAATTGCAAGATTGCAATTACAACGAAATTACCCGTCAATATAGCTCCATTTTAAATAAATATATTAATTCATGGAATATTGTTTATCGAGATATTACAAATTAGCACAAAAATTTGAATCTGTACAATAATTTATTAAAATTTACAAAAGCGTGTTATTAAGAGTATAACAGGAAAACATTGACTTTAGAAACAACCACCTTAAAAGTAAGAAATGATATTTTGATCAAGGTGAAATAAATGATTCGATATTTTTATTGATAAAAATGGCTATATGTGATATGTTCAGATCTGAGGATAAAACAGTAAATACAGTAATCTTGTACAGATATAGTTTTCGTTTTTAATTTGTAGCCCGCAAATCAAACGGAATTCGAACATGTAGCTTGTAATTATTTAAAAGTTTATAGACAGCTACAAAATATCTTTTCTGCTGTTATTAATTTTCATTTGAAGTCGTTATTCAAATGAATAAGAAAATATTAGCACAACGAATTGTTAAATAAAAACTCATGGTTGATGTACAATGTTCATGCATACGAATTTAAATTATTTACAAACCAATTTTTTAACAACGCTCAAATTAGCTGGCTATTAATAATAACTGAAATTAGTAACAAAAGTTTGTTTTTAATTTATTCTAGTCCCTTATCTTTATTCTTGCAGCCATTAATATACTTGTGATTCCGTTTTGATAAATAGTTTCATTTATCGCACATACAGTTTCTAATTTTATAATTATTCAATTATATTCATTTTTTATCCAGAAAATAGTTATATTACAACTTTGTCCACACTTTGTATTTAAAAAATAACTTCGTTCATGTCCACAACACTCTCAAGCATCGCTCAACTTGAGAAAAAAATGCAGGTAAATCGTGAAACGATTTTTAAAATTCAGAACTTCGAACTCGATTAAAATTCTTATCACTGAATATCAACAGTATAAATTACGTAACAGTCTTTTCCTTGTTAACAAAGCATCTACTAACATGTACATATATGCTTATTTAATGACTCTTTATTTGGAATCTTTCCTATGATATTCCATGGTGTTTTCGACGTTTTGATGGCCACTCCCAAAAAATTATTGTAATTTTCGTTAAGACACGTAGAAGTCATACCTTAAAAGAGATTGTTAGGGAATTTTTTTAATAATAAAACTTTTGGCAATTAATATGTAATAATTATTATTATTTATAATTATTGAAATTTGGGGATTTGGGAATTTGGAAACTTCAGGATTTTTCTGGTGAATTTAGAGATTTCAGAATTTAGAATCTTGAGAATGAGGGATTTGTGTATTTGCAATTTGGAAATTTTCGAACTTTTAAGTTCGGAAATTGGGAAATTTAAAAATCTCGAATTTCGAAAATGTGAGAATCTGAAATTTGAGACTTCGAAAATTTAAAAATCTACAACATTCGAACTTGGAAAATGTGGGAATTTTATATTCGAGGCTCTAAAAATTTAGAAATTGAAAAATTTGGAAATTGAAAAATTAAAATTCGAGAATTTAAAAGTTTAAAACGGAAAATTTGGAAATTTAGAAATTTCGGGATTTGAAAATCAAGAATACCTCTCAGTAAATAACCAGTACCTAAAATATACCAAAATATCTTTGAAATTCTCTAGTACGCGATTCCGTGTGTGGTAAAACTCTACATACACATTCCACGCCCGTATCAACTCAGTCGATAAATTTTCGTGAAAAGAGTTGGCCATCAAAGTGTCAAATATAAATACACCCGTATAATATATTTGATCAAGGAAGTTTCGGGATATCTTTTGGAGGATTCAGATGCAGGCCTCGATGTGTACGTTAGTCATCTCGCTGGTTCTCAGCTGATTGTTCACGTGCAGTTCCGAGGACGCGTTGCTGTGCACCAGATCCTGCTTCCTGTGCACCTGTCGAAGATCCCGAACCGGCCCGATAGCCACGCAACAGCTCTCTAGGGTCTTCCTGAAGGCTGCACGGAAGTCCCGGTTAAAATAGGCGTAGATCAATGGGTTGAGGGCGCTGTTGAAGTATCCCACCCAGAACACCACCGCGACAACTGCGTCGCTGCTCTCGCAGGTGTCGCATAGTGATGTGATGATGTACCTGTCGAAAGCAAATGAAGATTTATGACTACCAGAGGATTGATTCATGCCTCTTCACGTGACATATATCGTGTATACAACTGTTAAAAAATGTAACAATGTGGTTTGGACATTTGAGTACTTTGGAGTTTGATATGGAGATTTAGGGATTTTCGAGGATTTAAAGGTTTGGGAAACTTGAAATTTGGTGATTTGGGAATTTAGACGCTTTGGAAATTGGTGACTTGGGGATTTAGGGATTATGGAGTTAAGGATTTGAGAATTATGGAATTAGAGGATTTGGGATTTAGAAATTTGAGAATTTGGTGATTGGAAGAGGACTTAGTGATTTCAAAATTTGGAAATTTGGGGATTTTAGAGGATTTAAGAATTTGTAAACTTTCGAATTTGAGACCTGGGGATTTAAGGATTTGGGAATTTGGAGATTTGTGGATTGTGGATGGCTTTAGGGTTTTGGGACTTTGGAGTTTGGTGAGTTAGAGATTTAGGAAATGTAGAGTTTGATGATTTGAGGATTTGAGGATTATGGGATTAGGGAATTTAGGATTTGATAATTTGAGAATATGAGAACTGTAGGATTGTACTATTGAAAGATTTGAAGACTTAGAAATTTAGAAAGTTGAGGTTTTTATAAGGTTTGAGGATTTGTAGACTTTGGAATTTAGTAATTTGGAAATTTGAAAATTTAGCAATTTAGAACTTTTTAATTTCAGGTTAGAATATTTAAAAATATGTTCCAAAAGTTAAAAAATAAACTTAAATTCTGAAGATTAATTTGCAATCGCATCTATTTTTTGCAACACCTGTACAGGCATTGTGTGCCTAAATATAATATAAAAACATCAAAAGCTTTCAAAGTTTTTAAAGCTTTCTTCATTCCAACACTTTCTTTCATTTTATCGAATATACTTTCTAGTAGCGTTTTGTATCTTGAAATATACCAAAAGATATTTCAAATACTAGATAATCTATAAAACTATGTACTTGCGCAGTTTGTACTTGGACCATTTTCTCAAGTAAACCAATTATAAGCCAATTTTTTCATCCCAGCAATATAATGGTCTTAATAAATTCCTTCTTATTGTTAGTTAAACAGATTATTTTTAAAAGATTAAAATAAATACGACAGTAAAATCTTTTGAGATGATGAAATAAGTAAAATGATAAATATAAGCAGCTATCTGCATCTCTCGACATCACTTCTTTTTAAGTCATAATTTCATACTATTCCCATTAGAATTAATCCCCTGATATAGCCCTGTACTTCTACTAGTCTATATTTAGATCCAAGCTTGTACTTAGACCACATCCTCTATAACTATGGTACACATCATTTTATCATATTTCTAGATTAAACCTTTGCCATACGATTTTTTATCAAATGCACTAACTATCCACTGCTACAATGTAAAAAGAAATAAGGAAAGTCAAAATGTTATGCCAATTTTGTATTCACCGATTCTTGACTATGCAAATTATAATTGGACCTAAACTTCAAATTGAAGCATAGTGAAGAGCACGAACAAAAGTAACATTTTTTTACATTTGGCCTATTTGACAATCACCTTCTAAAGGTACAGAAACCAGAATTGTGCCATAAGAAAGCATTTTTATCGGTCTATCAATTGACTTAAATTTAACTTCTCCGTAATAAGTGGTCGCAGAGCTACGACATTTTTCTGCAGTTACTGTCATTGTTACCTGACCCATCGGAACAAAAGCAACATTAATCATCTTGAAGAGAATTATATAAAAATACATTTCCTAACACAGAATAGGATTTTTAGTATCAGAATCGTTAAAAAGAAATGCTCAAATTAACGTGTTATATTTTGTGCAGCGATACAAACTGCTCGCTCATATAAATAACGAAAAGTAGAACACATAATTAACTTCGAGCACAGAATTTCTCTGGTATTGTGTATGTGGTTTATTTATTTATCCCTAATTACAGTTCTGACGTGTATAAAACATCACCCTTGGTACAGTTTTTACAGGTTTTTCGTCCTCCTGGTAATACTTCGGTTAACATCGGGGTTTTTCAAAACAGAAATCATGATTTACAGCCTATTATATCATTTATTGAAATTAACTATTGTTACTTGTAAAAATATTATCTAAAAATGGTCTAAAAGTGATTGATTTAGAATAGCTTAACTATGAATATTTCGAGGAATGTCGAAAGAGTCGAAACTTGAGTAGTCTGAGTTCACAATCCAGTTATACACCGCCCACTTATGTTATGGCGCAGTGTCAATCAACGCAACAAAGCAGATGTTATGCACATATGATTATGAAAAACAAATTATCTAACAACGTTTATGCAAGCGAAGGACAGATGTGTTACTTTTATACCTACCTACACTACTAAAAACTGATAATATTTAAATTGTGGGTTCGCCTCGAGTTGACTCATCAAAATATGGCAAGGTGTCGAACAATGTATATTGATGAGGTATATTTTATAAATATATGGTCGAAATGAACGATCCAAAATGTGCAACGATCCAAAGGATTCAGGTCAATGAGCTGGTGAACTGTTAAGGGCGCGTTCTAAATACCAGCCTTTGAACCCGACATATTGGCCCAATTTAAAAGCAGCGTAACGGTTGTCAGACGAAATACTAAGTGACCCGGGCCAAAGTGTATCAATAGCAAGTTGGAACGACTTCCTCCTCTAAGCTATTTAATCTCCATTCATGGAACAGCTCCGTGTGGTTTCGTGCTCGATCGCGATTGACCCATATCGACCTCGAAATTGTTTCCATTGTTGCTGCTAGAATAGATTTATTGGCTTCTTTCGCTCGTCCAAGCTTCATCCATTGTCAGAACTTTTCTACCTTTACCTCCAATCTGGAAAACTTTCAAAATCGTTTTTCCCGATGTTTCGTAATACTTTCCTGTGAAACTAACGAATTTTAAATGTGGTATTCTTTCATAATTAGCAATTTCAACGGACATGCATGAATTATTTCAGATCTCTACTATTTCAAGGTTTATTAACAAATTCTTTTTTGTTTTCTAAAAATTTATATGGAAGATTTTCAGATTTCTATATCCCTCTATCTTTAAATTGAGAAATTTTCAAAAACACCCTTCTATATTGCTGGATTTTTCCATTTACAAATCTCTATGTCCGGATTTCAATTTTGTATATTTCCAAATCCCTATATTCCTAAATTTCTAAATCTCTAACATCCCCAAATTCTATATTCGTAAATCTCAAATATTTCTAAATGCTTAACAAGAAATCTACCGATCCCGGTATTCACATATCTCCATATTCTTCTACCCCTCATGTACATATATCAAATTTATATTCTATCCTTAATTCTACAGTTCTGTATTAATGAATATTCCAGTGTACGATATGCGAGCCTGCCAAACTCAAATGAATCCGCGACAAAACGAGCGTGGAACGTTCTGAAAATTTGAAGAAAAGGTATTTTCGATTCTGTCCGCCGATCGATACTGTTCACAATTTAAATCCGGAGCGATATTCTCCCGGGAGGATTTCAATACACATTCAACGGGATCTTTTGTGCATCTGGCTTCTTTCGAGCAAAGGGGAAGGAAAAAGGTTTGCTCATTAAACGACTTCTCCGTGACACCCAATGAGGCTCTGGGCAGAGTGCTTTCAAGAACTTTTCCAATCCTTCAGAATCGCGGCATACTCATCCCGTTTCTGTCGATTGTTACGCGAACAGTTCACGTTTCGTATAACAGGATAGATTTTCATTCGCTCGATAACTAAGCTCAAGCTGTAATCGTAACATTAGCCGAGGATTAAAAACAAAACTCAGTTTGCGTAGTTGAAATTACTGTACTCGAGTTCACGATCGAATTTGACGTTGGTGGAATTGTAGGGGTCACATTCGATGATTTAATTAATAGATGCTTGGCCTTTTCGTTCATTTTTGTTGATTGAACCTTTGATAAAATTTCATCCATTTAAAGGATTTTTTAACCATGAAACTATCAAAACAATTAAGCGAACGTTTTACAATTTTTTTATTTTAAGTTACAAAATTTTTGTGAAATCTGTATTGATCTTCATAACCCTAAAATTATCAAAGCGGTCAAATGACCGTTTCACAAATTTTTTATTTTAAGTTACAAAATTTGTTAATGTAATTTCTGTGAACTCAGTGTTAATCTTCATAACAACAAAAGAATATATATATTAATTTATATTTTGTCATTTTTTTATTTATTGTTTAACTCTAAAGTTAACTAACGTTTTCAATTTCAAAGTAAATATGGAGTAATGTTAAATTGAATACACGGAACGCTACGTTTCAATATATCTATTAATTAATCGCTGTACGTGTGGAGCAATTAAATTATATTACATGAAACTAAATTTCAATTAAATTAAATTTCATTTGTTTTCATTCTGATAACGTGTTGATTGATGATCCTCGAGTGACTGATAGAATATTCCGCCATATTGATCTAAGCCACACGTGACCTCAGTTGGCGGCACAATTTAAATCTGTTTAGATGAAAAATGACGTTATTGACCTAACCTTGTTTATTAAAACAAAGAAATAGGCTTTTATTTTAGATAAAACATCCACTATAAAACAATATAAAATAATTAATATGAATTTAATTAAACTGCCAATAATTAGATTAATTTAACCTGTTCAGTTTTTAGTTCTCTATAATTAGTTGTCCGTTTGAACAAAACAAATATTGATCTTAGAAATGTTCCCTAGTTTTTCCCTAGGTTTTCCCTAGAATTAATTATAAATAGCGTAATAAACGTAGCTGACGTAAAATCTAATTTTTAATGCAATACAATGAAATCAAAACAATTTTTCGTTGAAATGGAAAATATTGTATGTTTTGTGTCATTGAATTCGAATGGTATCGCGAGGATAAGCTCCGTACCAGTTACACGGCCCGTTACCTCGTTGCTGGTTATCGATAGGATTAACCTGGTGACCCCGTCAAGCTAGTGGATTCTAAGATGACCCGTTACAAATCCACCAATGA